GTCCCTACAGTGGTGGCTTGTGCTGTGTCTTGCATCTGCCTGGTGCCTCGTGTACATCTGCTTCATTCGTGGAATTGAGACTATTGGAAAGGTAATTCACTCGCCTGATGTAATGATAAAACAGATTTTATTGCTTTATCTATTTTTATGCCGTTTGGCTCAGACACCAGCAATGAATGGCAAAATGCTGTAACCATTACAGTAACACAGGCTTTCCTCATACTTATTCACATGAGCAAAGGCACATGAATATAAAATAAGGCTGTGCAACTAGAGTACAGCTGCCTCACCAGCTTTACTCATGTAAGGCTGGAAGAGAGAAGTGCACTCCACTGCAGATCCCTCCGACTTGCCCAAATTAAATTCTGGTCTCAGCTTTCATCACTGGCAGAAATTCCCCACTCATACAAGTCACAAATCTAAATTTAACAGCTAGAAAAACCTGCTGTCTCCAGAACAGCAGAATGTCAATAACAGGGTCCAAAATCAACTTCTTGGTATATCTGCCAATGGCTGGTAAAGTGAAAAAGATACACCGGCCCAAATATTTTTCAACCGGACATATATCTGTATAAAAATGCTGCAGCTCATTGTATTGGTCTTGCTGTCGTAAAAAAAAAACAAAAAAAAACAAAACTAATCTCTCCTCATCCGCTTATCTGTGAGGCACCATTTCTTTGCAAAGTTTGTATTAACCGTACTGCCACCATGCTCTTCATTCCTCCTTTTAAATTGATCTGCTCTGGCAATGTGCCACATATTTGCAGAATCTCTCGGTTCACACAGAATTCTCCTCTGTGGTACCCAACCAGTACCAGGGGTAAACTAGATAAAGTAAGCATTTCCATAGCAACAGTGGACAGCAAGGGTCAATTAAAGCATTGCGATACAATTATTAGTCATGCATTGCACCTAATGCAAAAGCAAAACGTGTTCAATCAACTATTGTGGTATAACGATGACGTAGTGAAGCAGGCTTATTTCAACACCCCTCCAATGATGGCTGACCTCATTTATTTTGTTCGCCTGTGTAGATTTTTAATTTTGCAAGTGGCAGGCACTAATCTTTGAACCCAGGACAATAACTTCAGCAAAAGCAAGCTCACCAATGATGATGTTTCACAAGTAAGCATCCTGGTAGAGGTTGCATCAAAGGTGATAACGGTGATGGATGGAAGATTGTTGTTTATTATCTTAACATGTGACGGTAACAAGGGCTCAAAAATTTAACTTTTGAGGCTTTGAACAACAGCATTACAAAACCACCAGCGCAGTACAGTTACAGTTACATGGGAGTGTTACAAAGGGTTTAAGATATCTCAAATTCTGCTTGATGTTCAATATAAAATATCTTATCAGCATCAACACTTTTTCCAACAGGCTATTTACGTCACGGCCACCTTTCCGTATCTCGTTTTGACCATCTTCTTGGTGCGATCCTTAACTCTGTCTGGAGCAGCAGATGGTTTAGTATATCTCTTCACCCCAAATGTAAGCTTGTCATTTGTTGTAAAATATGACATAATTTCATGAGTAAAATCTGATATCAAACTAACAAACAATATATTCATCACAGTGGGAAACCCTGAAAAACCCAAAGGTCTGGCTGGATGCTGCTACTCAGATCTTTTTCTCTTTGTCTTTGGCCTTTGGAGGACTTATTGCTTTTTCCAGTTACAATCCTCAGAAGTAAGAACTTTATGAACATGTTTTAATTCACGAGAATATAATGTACAAAATAAAAATATATGAAACTGAAACAATGCTTTATCTTTGCAGGAATAACTGTGAGAGAGACGCCCTAATTGTTGGATTAGTGAACAGTTTTACATCATTATATGCATCAATTCCTATTTTTGCCATTCTTGGATTTAAAGCGAATGAAAACTACAATGATTGCCGAAATTGGTATGTACCATAAAGATAATTATGGTGTGTCATAGAACAGTATATTCAGCGTGATAATTATGCAGCATTATTATTAGATGTGCAACTGCCGATTATGTAATTACAAGTGGTCAGACCCCAAAGCAATGTGACTGCTGTGACCATACAACCACTCCAATATAAGTCAAAAGTCCCACTTTCAATACTGTAAGAGAAATTATTTATCTATTCAAAAAACCCACATTTTCTATTTTCTCAGTTAATTATCAGACATTCAGCCCGAGTTATAATTACTAGCAGTCATGCTTGTAATAGTAGTGTTAACTAATGTAATTTCTTGTTGATTTTAGGAACATACTAACACTGACAAATTCATTCAACATCGGGGATGAAAACATAACTCTTGAAAACTATGATGACTGGTTAAATTATCTCAACATGACCAATCCCTCAGAGGTCGAAAGCCTCAATCTAAAGACCTGCAACCTGCAGACTTTCCTGGACCAGGTACAGTACATCTGATACTATTAAACACTTTTCTCCATTAAGTTTTATGTAGTGGTTGTGTATGAGATCACGTATCACATCCTACCTGTAGAGTGCCTCTGGAACCGGACTGGCCTTCATTGTGTTCACTGAGGCGGTGATCAAAATGCCAGGCTCTCAGGTGTGGTCGGTGCTCTTCTTCATCATGCTCTTCAGCCTGGGCCTGTCCTCCATGTTTGGAAATCTAGAGGGGGTCCTTACTCCTCTGCTGGACCTGCACGTGATTCCATCCTGGATTCCTAAGGAAATTTTCACAGGTAAATGGAAAGATCTGATATGCTCTTATGGTGTGTGCAATTGTGGCATTTGAGGCACAGAAAACACGACTTTGTATTTTAATACGATCTTACAAAAGCCCCTTACAAAGTAAGGTGCAAAATATCTATTACTTCCTATACATTACAGTGATTATGACACTTAAACAAAGTCGTGTAAAAAAAACTCATGCTGATTTTAAGTAAATGTGTCTTTTGGATACTGTAATTTCACAAGTCCTGTGTAAATTTATTTCCATGTGAAATTCTGTCTTCATGTGTGAAACAAGTTACGTCATGAGTATTCAAGGTGAAAATCCAAATAAAGTGTTAACGTGTGAAAAACATGAACATCTGCTGCAACATCTGCTATGTCAAAATGCATGTTCTTGCACCATGCCAACATTATTTTCTTTCAGATATACATGGTCTTTCAAATGACTTTTGCACAGGTAGACTGTCTAATGGTTTTTGTACCAGTGAATCTAGGTCATTAATTACCATAGCATTAAACAAAATCAATTTCCTTTTTTCCTTTTTTTCGATTAAAGGGTTAATATGCCTCACCTCCTTTACTGCGGCCCTCATCTTTACGTTGGGCTCTGGGAACTACTGGCTGGGGATTTTCAACAGCTACGTGGGATCCATGCCTCTGCTCATCATAGCCTTCTTTGAGATCATCAGTGTGGTATACATCTATGGAATAAACAGGTGACACTGTGATTCATGCCATCATTATACTTGCAACATAAAACATATTTTAATGATTTCACAAAGGGTTTCCATTTGCCCACAGGTTCAATGACGACATTGAATGGATGACAGGTCGGAGACCAAACATCTACTGGCAGGCCACCTGGCGCTTTATCAGTCCCTTCATGCTTCTTGTGGTTTTTTTGGCATACGTTGTAGTTGAGGCTGAAAAACGACCAACATACAATGCTTGGAACCCAGATTACGTAAGAAAGATTTTACGGTTGTTCTACAACATCGCTCTGTAGAATTTGTTAAATCTGGTACATGATGAAAAAAAACCATTGACTTTCCACTCCATTACCCCCACAGGTGCACTTCCCCCTCGCTGATGTGCAGCACTATCCTGAATGGGTTTATGCTATCTGCGTGCTCTTATCTGTCCTTCCTGTTGTGTCCATTCCTCTTGTGGCTCTCTACAAATTCATTGGCTTCCTGAAGAAGTACATCATGAACAGACACAACCAAAATCCATATGCAAATGAATTCTGTAATGGAGAATTGTAAAGGGAAGCTGCTTTATGTGATTGGTGGACTACAAGAAGTGAATGTGAAATATTTTGTAATTTAATAATCTGGATTTTCATACTGTTTTCTATCTTTTGTATAATGAGTGAATGACATGATCACTAGAACAACACATTGGCAGTAGCAGCTGTAATTTCAGTATATTTGCTAGATTAAAACATTTTTTTCTTAATTTACACAAGTGTATTTATATTGGTGAAGGAAATGCAAACACCGTCCACCAGATCAAATCGATGCCGGACAATATCCCTCAGAAATATAATAACAACAGAATACTAAAGGCTGGAACTGAGTATCAGGTTTGTGTTAATATTTGATTAAAGGAAGACAGCAGTTAATTTCCTGTGTTGATGTTTTGAATGGGAACAAAGGGAGAGTGATGGATAACCTTTCTGAATGGTTTGGGATAAGCACAATATTAATTCTCAAAAAATAAAAAAATTAAATTCCCAATGATATTGGGTGCAAATGTGTACAAGCAAACGCCACATTAGCTGTAGCAATGTTGTGTGTGTATGTTCTGTTAACATCGTCATCGTCGTCATTTTATTTATATTATGCATAATATTGTAAATCCCAGTCTAATTTGTCTGGAGAACAGTTTTTGTTTTGTGACATAATATAGTTATCTGCTTTCCACCCCATCACCTGCAACTGTGAAGAGTGATGTAGTGTTGCACGATGTGTCCTTTATGTAACTTTTTTTTTGCATGTCAACAGTGCGTGTGGGTGTATGAGAGCAGTAGGACTGTGCTTGTGTGCGTGAGGGTGAGGGTGCATGCATGTGCTCACTGACCATGCGCACATGTGTATTTTAGAGCCATACGAGTTACACAGTTGTCCTTTTTTGTGGTGTGGGTGGACAGTGATATTGTCCCCCCGGCGTCACGTGCTTTGGAATATGCTGGCTGCCTTTGTTGTCCCTCTGCCTGTTCTGCTTTTCTGGCACTTTCATACAATGGTGCACTTGAACACTGTGATGTTATTAAGCCTTTCAAACTACTACAGCTTGAATTCCAGCTCTCAGGAAAGACTAGCATCCCAATGTAGGATACATGGCACAAGATACATCGTCGAGGAACAACAGCAAGGATTGAGTCTAACATCAGAACAAAGGTGACGTTTGAGCCTGCAGTGATGTTTGGGTGTTTTAATAATTGCCGGTTAAAGACTGCACATATAGAGCTATGCAAGATGTCATGCTAATGCTTTCGCAATGTCTTATAGCTTGACATGCTTTCTGTTTGTTTGTTTTTTTGATTAAGGACTTGACTTATTGACCAGTGGTAGTCATTATCTATGCCTCTTGTATATTTGAAAAACAATTTTAAGTGAGTGATGTGAAGGAAATCAGACATACTTAATGATAATAACAGTGTTGCAAACCCGCCTAAGAGGTTACGACAGTTTACTGAGTTCAAAAGGACATGCTGTTCTGACTTTTGTTGCATGAAATTGCTTGCTAGGAAAAGTAAATTGTGTATTTAATAAGTGACTAAAATATCGCCACCTTTTGATTTTTTATGTTCTGTTTATTGAAATGCTTTCTAGTATGCTAATGAGTAAATAACCAATGATCTTATAATTGGCCTGGTCTTGTAGTCATCAACAACAAAGTGACCTTGATGTCCCTCAAAGCCTCCAAGTGATGCTGTAACCTACAGTAATGAAACACTGTACTATCAACAACAACAATGGAACAAGAGTGCGACAAGTTCAACAGCTTTCTGACCTATGATCCTACACTAGGCAATGTCCCAGCGAGCAGATGCCCCCCAGTGTGGCGGGGTTGTGGTTGAGTTTGAGTCTGACAACATCAGGGATGCGAGAGCTCACAGAGCTAAAAGTATACCAGGTGAACTCAGCTTTAAATCCAACTTGAATTTGTGCAAATTTGTGTGTTTGTAGGTTATATAATGTGTGCTTATTCAATTTCCATGCATTTCCTTGTAAGGCTCAGCTCTTATCTACCTCAAGGGTCCCAAGTTTCTCATCTATGTCAGTGGAGCGTTGTCAATGTGGGTAAGAATCATTTCCTGAAGAGACAGATTCCTGGAGAAATAGATAAGACATCCAAATTTAAATAGTGCAAGGTAGTCTATCCACTGAAAACTGTATGACAGCATACAGGCAGCACTTTGCAAAACATAACGATGCCCTTTCATGTTGTGTTAAACAGGGCGACCGCATGTGGCACTTTGCAATTTCTGTGTTCCTGATTGAGCTGTATGGCCGTAACCTGCTGTTGACTGCGGTGTTTGGGTTGGTAGTGGCTGGGTCAGTGCTCCTGCTAGGGGCTTTGATTGGAGACTGGGTTGATCGCAATCCCAGGAATAAAGGTACGCAATAATTTCACACCCATTTGAAAATTTTAGCACGCAGTATATCATAGAACAGAGATACAGATCAGTGGATCCTAATCTTGGGCCCAGATCTCTGCTGGTTTCCTATCTCACCGGGTGGTAAATTACATTCACCCGATGTCTCAAGTGTAAAGCAGTGTCTGATTTGATAGCGAGACTCAATACCAGCAGGTCTTCAGGCACAAGACTCACATCTGTCAAGGCTAGCATTCAGTTTCTACAGAACATATCATCTATGCTAAGACTCTGAAACTGTTTTTTCGTCCTCTCTTTTAGTTGCACATGCATCTCTTTTCATTCAGAACATCTCAGTAACAATATGTAGCATTGTGCTCATGTTGGTGTTCTCATATAAGCAAAGGATTGAACAGATCTGGGATGGATGGCTTACTGTGAGTAGACACATACACACCTACCTGACTAACAATTACATTTAATAACTTGATATCATGTTGATGTGCAAACAGAGTATTCACCATGATTATAACACAGAGGTGTTACTGCTGCTGTTGTTCCCTCTGTCCTATGTCTCTGTTGTCTCTGCTTCTGAGCTTGTGGCTACTCTGTGCTGTCATAGTAACATGTTGCATCGCAAAACTTACACAAGGTGGTTTGTTATACGGTGGTGATCATCCTGGCAGATGTGGCAAACCTTGCAAGCACAGCACTGACCATTGCCATTCAGAGGGACTGGATTGTGGTTATCACAGGCTACAACCGGGGTCACCTAGCTGGTAAGGGAATTCATTCTCTGTTAATGCACATATTTGTTTGCATGCCACGTTTGTCACGCATCCCTGGTTGTACACGATATATACTTGAATACAGAGAATATCAGGTATTGGTCCGTTTTCTGCTCTTGCTGACAGTCCTCCAGTGGAAGCACATTGACCTCTGTGTCTTTGATCCTAACAAAAGGAATGAATGCAACAATGAGGCGGATAGATCAGGTGACTAACATCCTGGCCCCACTAGCAGTGGGACAGGTCATGACCCTGGCCTCCAATGTAGTTGGCTGTGGCTTCATCCTGGGCTGGAACCTTGTGTCTCTCATTGTGGAGTTCTTCTTCTTGTCACGAGTGTACCGCATCGTCCCTGCCCTTTCAGTCAAACCACCAGTGGTGGAGGAGGATCAGGTGTTTCTGCAGAGGATGGAGAGGAGACCGTCACAAGGTATGGACCATGCATTTTTTCTTGTTTTAGATTTATGACTTCCCCTATTTTCCTGGACTTTAAAATGTTTTGAGATTTACTGAAAATGTACATGAAGGCTGTTGAGCATCATTGAGTCCTACACATGCCGAGTGACCTTGTAGATATAAGAAATAAAAATGAAGTATAACAGCAAGACTTTGAGCTGTACAGTAGGCTAAAACATGTCAACAATGTAGAGATGACATTCAGTATTTACTATTAACTGCAGGTATAATGCAGTGCTGGCAATGCTAGCTCAGTATAGTGTACCACAGTACACATTAAAATCACACAGCTTCTATGGCCACCTAAATCACAACTGCTCCTTTTTCAAAGGTTAGCAACAGGGCTAGAGATTACCTTTCTTGTCCACCTGCCACCTATCTAGCAATCTAGCTAGCTAGCTACCAGCATTTGGCTGATGGCTGGTGCTAATTTCCAAGCTGGGCCAGCGAGAAAGTGCTAAAAGTTCAATCAACTCAAATTTGAACTTTGAAATTCGATTTAAATGTTGAAAAGAACTCTTCTATGGCAGGACTGAGCAGGACACATCATAAAGGACACTGATGAAGTGAGATTTGTGCCAAAAGATTTTCAAATGGCTAAAGGAAACAGTGGTTAAAAAACAACAACAAAAAAAACAGACCACTTCACACTAAACTTGGAACACTTGGAAATGTGTTAAAATAACACTACAAAATGAATACTACTTAATTTTTGACCTTTCCGTTCTCCAGATTGTGATAGGAAGTGTTTGCTGAATTATAAAATGTTGTGATTACCCTGGGGCCATTCTCAACAGGGGGGGCTTAATGAGTGCTGTAAATTCATTAATTCTCTACTATATAGTTGTGAACAGTCACATTAAAAGCACTAAAGGTATTATAGACTGAAAATGATCAAGCTCCAAAGCTTTACTGAAGTATATATTATTTGAACAAACAATCCTCAGTTAATGTAGAGCACCTAACTGCCACTGTCCACATGTTCCACATTTGCAACTCATGTAGTGTAGATGGTCTGTACTTGACAGATGATGTGGACGTGATGGAGCAGAAAAGGTGCAGAATACCAAGTGGGCCTTTAAAACTGTTGAACAGAAGTGATGGATGACATTCCTTTTTCTCATCAGGGGAAGGTAATGTTGCACCACCTCAACCTCTGACCGAAGGTAACTGCAACACAAGCCTGAACCTCAAAGAAATCACCAACCTGCCGCTGTGTTTCCGGAGGTTTCGCTGGCTGGTGAGCACCTGCAAGGACGGCTGGAGAGCCTACTATCGCCAACCTGTCTTCCTGGCGGGAATGGGTCTGGCTTTCCTCTACACCACAGTGCTGGGCTTTGACTGCATCACCACTGGCTATGCCTACACCCAGGGCATAAGTGGCTCTCTCCTTAGTCTGCTGATGGGTGTATCAGCGATCACAGGGCTGATGGGCACTGTGATGTTCACCAGACTCAGGAAGACCTATGGTCTGGTTAACACAGGCATCATCTCAAGCTGCCTCCACCTTGGCTGCTTACTGCTGTGTGTTTGCTCTGTGTTTGCCCCTGGCAGCCCTATGGATCTTAGCTTGCTGATGCCCTACATTACCTCCAACTCCTCCACTGAGCTTGGGATGGCAAGCCAAAGGCAAAAACACACTTATCCACTGAGGGGAGGCGGCAATCAGCCACTGCTACCCGACCGCTCCTCCATCCACTGGACCAACAATACTGTGCTCTTTGACAACGTGCCCTCTGACACAGCGCCGGATTCTTACATCTCCATTATCCTTCTGTTCTTGGGGGTCATCACAGCACGAATCGGTGAGTAGGACATCCAAAAGTGACTGTTTTCAATGGACAACAAAACTTAAATGAATCCATATACAATATATGGGAAGACCATCAAATGTAGAGCTTTGCTCATACATTGGCGTGGTGGATACTAACAGCCAATACTAGCTAATTATGACTATATTGCTATCTATGTTGGGCAATAAATAATTGCAGTACAAAAATGCCAAATAAATGTTTAAGGTAATTCATAAAGTGTCAATATTACAAATACTACTGACCACAGAGGACTGTCAAAAAACTATAAAGTGTCCCACTTGGTGTATGTATTGGTGACAATTACAGCATTTGGGCATTTTAACCTTTTACTGATAATCAACAGTAGTTTGCAATATCACTATATGGTATGCAGCATACCCACTGAGCTACCAGGACGCCACACAATTACAGTATTTAATAATCGGACTCTAGGGATCCTTATAAAAAATGTCTATGTCTGTAAAAGGATAAACAATTCAGTATAGGCAGGGCTCTAGTTAAATGTTCCCATGATATACATTGTTGGGTGAAGAGCTTAATAAATGCACAGCTGTTGTGACTTTTGGCTAATAGCCAGGTCAACTTTTAAACCCCAATGACATCTGTGTTACAGGTCTCTGGTCCTTTGACCTGACGGTGACCCAGCTCCTGCAGGAGAACATCTGTGAGTCAGAGAGGGGTGTGGTAAATGGGGTGCAGAGCTCTATGAACTACCTGATGGATCTGCTTCACTTCATCATGGTGATCTCCGCTCCGCAGCCACAGCACTTTGGCATCCTGGTTATCATTTCTGTATTATTCATCACCACCGGGCACACTATGTACTTTCTGTACGCACACAAAGCCAAGAGAAAACACCGCCTTGACACATAAGGAGCAGTCATGGCCCAAACATCCAGGCATGGGATGCTTACCAGCACTGACTCCACTCTGCACCTGTGAAATGAATGTCTCCCTCCAGTTCCTTCAGCAATCATATTGCAACACTCCACTCCCGACTTAGCCATTCATTTCAGCACAACACAGCAAGTGCCTGTCCCACCTCGGTTGCTTTCTTCCTGCAGGGCCATGTGCCGTAGCAGCAACAACAAGAACTCAGGTGAAATAGAGTGGGAGACACGCTCTCCCTTCGTGTACATAAGTTGAGGTGGCTACAATAACTGCAGCAATGGCACCTCCAGGGGAAATGTCCTAATCTAATGTACAACAGGACATGAAGGTAGGAGCTAAGGCACCAGACATGCCTTTGCAAACCCTGTAGGATTACTGCAAGACTTTCATCAAACAAGCCTGTTAACTTACATAGCTTTTTGGATGGGAGGGTGGATGGATGGAGAGCTTTTTCTAACCTTCACTCAGTAAAGAACTGGTGTTGTGAGGAAAACTTAACAGTGACACATGAAAATGCAAACAAGACGAGACGGTACTTCTACAAGTGGCATCGATGTTACTGATCCGTCCACTTGGAAATATTCCAGGATGTCCAAAAAGGAACATAAAGGGAACTTGATGTGAGATTGTTTGATTAAAAATAAAGCAGAAAGGCAGCCCCCCTTTTAATGGACATAAGTGAAAGGACAAAGTATTTCCTTCCCCTGGTTTGTTTCTCTGTGGATGAATCAAGCAAACATTTGCCTTTCTCTTATGCATGTAAACCTGATTAATGGATTACAACAACAAAAAATTATCACATCACGTCATGTACTTTAGTCAAACTTTAATACAAACTATTTTATTCTAATTGCTTGTGTACTTCGATAAATAAAAATAGTTTCCAAACTTTCTTTCCTTCCCATATAAAGAGTGATATTAATAGTTTTATAGAAATCCAAAAGGAAAGCAATCTTCATTTTGTGCCATGTTTGAAATCAGTGATAGCTATATGTTAATGGCAAATGTTGCTATTTGCAGTTTTGTATTAGACTTTGCTTCATTCTTTTGTAGTTCTGACGAACTAAACATTACCTTACCTCAACTAAGAAGAAGCCCACTGTTGGGAATAAGACGTGGGAATTACTCTCAGCTACTGTATGTTTTCATATCTCCTTCATGTACAGTGGAAATAACATCAAAGTTTAACCTTCTGTCACACAACCAGCAACACATCTCAATATATTTGTATAATTTCCCTGTGAACTCTCTGTATTGTATGTTGTTCTTATTTTTCAGACTGATAATTATGATAATAATAAAGATGACTGAAGATGATCTTTGGCCTCAAGTTTTCTGATCAGAATAATCAACAAATATATGTGATGTGATATAGAATAAAATCCTGCAAGTTGCACAAGATGAGTTTTGACTAGGTCATCTAAACTCTCTACACTGCAAAATTTCATTTATGACATTGTGAATCCATTTGGCTCCATTCACAGCCTGACACTTAGATAAAGCCACCAATTCAACCTTCACAAGTTAATGGTAGCACTGGAATCATTCCAATAAAACAGACAGCCACATGGTTTCATAGTCTGCATATTTCATATATACATTTACAGAATCCTTAACTCCCAGGGAGTTATAAGAGATTTGCTGACAACTTCCTTTAAAAGTCCCTGAACTTGCAGTCCGAAGAGAGCTTATGCAACCTGAGATATAGTACCACAGGTTTTAATTCATTACCAATCAAAATTGAGCTGTAGCACCCACAAAGCTGTAAAGGTTGTTGGCAGAAATACCCTCAGTGTAAAGGGGAGACTGTAAGAAGAGGAACACTGCAAGGAGAAAATATAAAACACATGATAAATGTTGAGGACATAAACGTGTCATATCCAGGGTACATAGACATAATGCAAATGTAATGGCTTTTTGAGGCCAGTAGAGGTCAATGTCACATTAAATGGTCATCATAATGTCAGTATGAGTATGCCTGAGTTAACACTCAGATTTTTAATAGATTATCAGTACCATCCAAGAGTGATTATTATTCTGATAGCTATCATCCAGAGGAAGACATATGAGGGGGGGCACAACAATGGAAACACAAGAGGGAAAGCATCCAAAACTGAAGGACATGGAAATCCAGTTTGCTCTTCAGATATTCTCATCATCATGATGTGAGCTCATCTTAATTGAATTTTCAGTATCCAGATGCACCAGTAGCATTGAAGATAAATAACAAACATGAGTATGCACAGTAAGGCAGGAAGTGATTGGTAACTGCAATGTTTGCTGCCAAACCAAAAGGAGTTCCAAGATACTGTTAAACCACAAGTACTGAATAGTGTCGGCAGCACTTTACAGCTGAGTTTGTATAGTTAATGGAGGACTCTCATATTTGAATGTCTTATTTTCATTCCATCATGATGATACTGACCCTCTGCCACCATTCTAAATCCATATCCTATTGCAGCCCTAATTTTAAACACTAAATTAAGGTTATAATGCTTACATGCAGTCACTGGCAGTGTGGAGTTACCTTGATAATGAACAGAAGCCATGAGTAGGCTGGTAAAGGCAACTTGCCAAGAAGAACTGTTGTTGGAGTGGGAGGCTGTTTGACTGGAAGCAGTACACACCACTGCAGACATGATAAATATCGATCATGAAATTGAATTGGTACTGTTCAACAGTTAGATACTTTTTGCCATGAGCAACTTTGCAGGAGTCTATAGGTTTTGTGTAGTACTCTGTGCAAAGTTCAGATGATTAGAGAGAAGTGTCCAACTCAGGACAGAGTGACACTGACTATTCTTGAAGCCTTGATGATTACATTTTTTAAATAAAATGACAGACTGTAAATCTGCCAACAATCTGCCATGTTTGCTTCAACCAAACCCCAATTTATGCCTTCCATGCATTATTATTAAGCTATAGCAATGTAAAACCCACCTGTTAAGCAAGATAATGGGGCTTTTTTTAATTAGACAACAGAAAATAATAATGATTCAGTACACATGGGGTGCTGTAAAAATATAACAATAACAAAATAGCCAGGGGTATATCATACTAGACAAAAATATTATGAAATATACAGCTATTAGGTGTCTTGATTGCCTTTTTGTCAGTTGACTTAGAAAGTAATTTTCAATATTGCTCAACATCTTCCAAGAAATCAACAAAATAAGGTTTATTACTCTTGGGTTTTTGAATAAACCAAACTCCACATTGCCCGTCAAGATAAAGTCTTTCAAGATATGATCACTAAAAAATCTACAAGGGTCTTGCCATGATTTCTTTGTGTAGGAACAAAACCAAAATAGGTGTGAAACAGTTTCTAAATATCCATCACAGAGAGAGAAGCTTGTGTCAATGTCTGCATGAAATGAGATGTGATAGCTGCATGCTGAATAAGTGACGCTACACTGCAATGCTGGCTTTAAACACTGAATAGTACTATTAATGTATGAGTGATGTGAAATATTGCAAGGTTTTTGAAAGGTTAACACTACCCAGCAATGCTTTATGTGTAAGAATAAGGTAAAGTAATAGGAATAGAGTTTGGAAAAGAGTTAAGAATAGCAGAAAATGCTGAAAGGGTTTTATTTAGTATGAATGTCATTGACAAGTTGTATGATGCCAATACTGTGACATATTTAAAGGTTTTAGAAAAAAGCTGACACTACACTGAATTGCTGGCTTAATTGTGTAAGAAGAAGATGGATGCCTTAGATGCCTGTCGGGGTAATACATAGAATAATGTTGAAGGACACCTCCTTAACCTTATTCATGATTAGTTTATAAGGAAGCATCGAGACTTTCTTCCAATGCATATCATTAACAAACACATGCCTTGAGATACAGAATAGAGACATCTTTTTAAAATAGGGTATTATGGCTCTGTTGTTTTTTCGGGATGTATGGTTGGTGAGAAACAAATTTCTGCTTGGTAGTCAGCTGGGTTACTAATCAGACTTCCCTTGTTTAAATATTACAGTGATGGAGGAAATCCCAAAAGCAACATAGATAAGAGCTTCCCAGCCATAAAGCTAACCTGAGCTCAACAGCTCCACCATGTGGTAGACGCAGGAACATCCAGACATCCGGGAAAAAAGTAAGTAAGCTAACGCAACCAGAACAAACATATTTTAGCACATAAATGGTTTATGTTTGTGTTTGTAACTGCGGTGTACAATACTTTTTCATTTTCGTGTCGGTTTTGCAGGAGTTTCGCACAACGTTACCAGTATTTCTACCTCCATTTTCTGCTACGCAACAGTTAGTTAACTTTAGCTAGCTCACAGCAAAGCATCTTTGCTAATCTCACGTAATGCTAATGTTAGCCGTTCTGACGCCCGTAGGTTAACGTTACTAGCCAGGTTAACATCATTAGGTCATTTTCTCTAAAGGCACACTTTGAAAAATAAAAAAACACAAATTTTCAGGACTTACCAGTGTGTTTTGAGTACATGTACCGGTTGTTCAGATATGTATTTATCCATGTCGGAAGAAATAGTCCGTGTGGGTTTAACAGTAACGTTACAAAATATTTAACGGTTTTACTAAATTGTAACTCATCCTCAGTCAAAAAAAGATGGTGACCGGAAGTAACAAGTGTTTCTTTCTGGGTTTAATAGGTGCTTGGAACAACTTGAAGCACCAATTTACTGTTGTTTGAGACATTGTTATTATAAAAATATCAATTATTATTCATTAAATATGATTTTTTGTAGCGCCCTTGTATTAGACTTAATTTTAGGTAGGATTCTGCCAATTACTGTACGTCACTTCCTGCTATAAAAAGAGTCCCATTACAAAAAGAAACCATTTTAAAAATAATTTTATTGTGTAGTAGATAGAATATTTTTGATTCCACCCATGTAGAAAAGTCTTCAAAGAATCTAGAAATTGTAAAGCAAACAAAGAAACAAAAAAACAACCCGGCAGTGTTTTCAATGTAACTGCTTTTTTCAGTTAATCTTTTTAGTTCGGCTTATTGCCTCACAGAAACACAGATATCTTACCTATCCTATCCTACCACTCTTACACAGATGTGTAGGAGACGGTATGCTGTTGTTATGGTTCTGTAAGTCACGCCTGATGTGTCCCCGTCATGGTCCCTCTATGCCTGACAGAACACTACAATCACATTTCTCTCGTGTGTAATTGTGTGTATGTGTATGAAAGTATGGGAAAACATTTTTTCAGCCCCAGGAAAACAAACAGACAAATAAAAATCTAGTATGAGATAATTACTCCCATAAAAAAAAGACTAAAATAAAAAATACATAAATAAACAGTAATAGACAAGGTGTGTGTATTTGTGCACATCTGTGCCTGAGTAAAATTCTATGCAAATGTTGAAAAAAACTGTGGTAAAACCTGACTGCTTTTCAAGCAGATAAGAATGAAAGGTTGAAAGATATAGAGAGATACAGAATGCAAAGGTAGCAGTGCAATTATTTCTGTGCAATATTGATATGTGCTTAAAAAATACACGACTGCAGAAAACATCCATGCGCTATGTGGCAATGTTTTTGTTTTTCGGTTGCTTTGTAGCTTCCTTCAGATTGTGCAGCTGTTGAACTTCTCTACTTGACAGGGTGTTATTTTGGAAAAGGGTATACTGTAACAAGCTCAACAGAGTTTCATCACTTTTTCACTGTTTTGCAGTGCCGCAGGCCTACAGTAACAGTGTACCTCCCATGGTTGTCATGGTAGTCCCTGGTTTAAGACAGCAGTATTAGAGCGAGCTCGCTAACAAGTCTGACTTAAGGCATTTTCACTTTGCATCCATTTACTTGAGAAACTGGGTCAGTGGTAGCACATTAAAGCTACAGTTGTCCTCCTGGCTTTGTCTCACTAAGGAACACACACTCGGAAGGAGCAGGAAGGAAGGCGGTTGTTTTTAGACGTTCAAGGCCAACACTTTACTTAGTTACCTTCCCATAGTGAAATAGTATAGAATAACCTACAGTTCAAAGACAGTAACATATAGTACACTGGCTGGGTTTACTATCCAATGAGTATCTCTCTTTTTTAAGACAGATTTGAATAAATAATAAGCTGATAATTATTTCAGGAGCACTTGCTTATTTTATCAAATCCTTAGCAAATGATGAGGACGCTTAATCAGCATGTTCTGAATATAGAGACCCCAGCTTTAATGAGCAAGTGCCAGTAAAGAGTTGAGGGATGAAATTATTTAACTGAAGTTATCCACTCTTAAAGACATATATATGAGGGCAATGGGCATCTTCCCAATCAGTTACTCTGAAAGAACAAAAGAGCATTGTGGAATTATGGGTCTCACCTCACATGAAAGACAA